TAACTACGGCTTTTACTCTAATTGGTGGAATATAAAAATTTTTAAAGGTCGTGTTAGAGCTAACCAAGGTAAGATTGTTCTCCAGGCTTTACTTATTCAAACTTATCATCACGATATTTATCTTTGTGTCATTTTGTTCTAGCATTATATGAAAGGATGTATCATGACCTTCCCCATGAAGGTGACAATAATATCCATCGCGGAATTCTAAATTCTGATCTTCTATACTCGGGATCCATGGGAAACTCTGGAACACCTACTATTGAATTAGAGATTTTAAATTATAGAGCTATTAGTACAGCTTATTCTTCCGCTTCTGTTAGCGAAAAAAGAAGTTATTAAAAACTTTTCTAAGTTTATGATATAAATTTATTCGAGTTTTTGGATTTTCGTTAAAAAAAAATAAATAAATAAATAAATAAAAAACTTTTTTTCATTTTTGTCCGATGATTATTGTTTGCTCATTTAGGAAATTTTAATGTAATACGAAAATGTCACGTGAACAGTTATCAATACTTAACTTTTCATTAAAGCAAACTGTACATTTATTTGCGACTAATTTGGTTTAGGGTATTTGATTTCTAGGTGATCATAAGAAATTAAACAATGTATTTAATTTTTAATTAATTTTAAATATAATTTTGATGTATAAATAGTACCTTTACCTTCATTTCGTTCAATAGGACCTTTACATTTTTTTAGCTTATTAGATCCAAAAATAAAAATTTTAATTTTTTACTTTTAAATATTATAACATAACAAAGCATTTTTAAAACATTCAAATGAAAAGAAATTTTTTTATGTATTTATGTTTTTGATTACTTATTACATTAGGTTTTTCATTAAGTTTTACCTTTCATATTTAGTGGCGCAGCATTATCGCGTGACAATTTTTTTTTTAAAAAAAAAAGTTTTAAATTTTACTTAAATAAATTATATATATGATTTATAATATTTTTAGTCGACCAGTCAGTCAAACGGAGAAGGATTTGACCGAACGACGGATATGACCGGTCATGCTGTATAGCACGAAATGTAGTATCACACGAATAATGGATTGTTTATAATACATATTTATTAAAAAAAAAATATTATTTTGTTTTAACTAGCCTTAATTAATATTATGAATTGCAAGACATATAAGTTGATTTTCTTCATATTAAGTTATTTGTTTTTAAAAGTTGAGGCATTTACTCCTTTAGGACGTCATTCTCATTCTTCTGTCCTTGTTGAAAATAAACTTTATTTTTTTGGCGGAGCTTCTGCTGATAACGAATGTTTAAATGAAGTTTTTTATCTTGATTTGTCTCAACAATTTAATGCAGAGCTTCCGCTATGGACCGACCTTACTTTAACATCAGAAGTAGGATTTAGAAGTTGTTGGGCAGCTACTGCATTAACTAATAATAATAATAATCTAATTATTTACCTAATTGGAGGAATGATGCGAAATCAAAATAATGAAGATACATTTACTTCTCTGGTATATACATATAATCTAAAATCAGAACAATGGAATATACCTGTAATGAAGGGGAAAGTTCCAGTACGACGTAGGGCTTTTCAAGCTGTTGCAGATGATTTTGGAAATATTTTTGTTTTTGGTGGAGCTGCAGATAAGCAAGTAGGATCAAATATAACTCAAAATTTTAATGACATGGCAATATTAAATACTCATGATTCAACATGGTCATATGGCCCCATTGTCAATGCTCCCTTACCGCGATATTGTTTTACTGCGACATTATTATCAAATGGTGATATTATATACATTGGTGGTATAGAGGTTCTCAATGATAACACCAGACGTATTGTAGATATTAATCAACTTTACCTTTATGATACCAAATTATCGTCTTGGTCAGTAGTGGTACGTACATATTTATATTAATATGAACTCCTTTGTTAGAAAAATTAGAAAAATTTAAAAATTAAATTAAATATATTAAGCAAGCGAAAATTAACGGTCAAATTGAATCTCGCTTTTTACACTCGGCTGTTCTAGGTATAATTTTTTTTACAATAAAAAAATTCATCGTGTTTTAAATATAGTAATTAATTTATTATATACATATATATTATTAGTTTCTGATGGAAGAATCATAATTTATGGAGGGGCAAAAGATATTTTAGAAACTAAAGATGTTAAAGTTTTTCCCGATTTGGCGGTTTTAAATACTTCAACATTTCCATTTGAATGGACTATCCCAAAAGTATCAAATATTGGTGAAATTCCATCGCTTACAGGCCATACAGCACATTTAGTTGGAGATTACATGATTGTTGCGTTTGGTAAGTAATTATTTACATTTTCATTTAATCTGAAAGTTTTAATATTAACTATATTGAATTATAGGAAATATGA